TTATATTCAACACTCACAGCAATACATACACACATTGCCCTTTCCTCTACGGTTGCTTAACTTATCCCGCTATCTCCGGTGAGCAGCTTCAGTTGCTCGCCTGTGGGCACTTCGAAGACAATAGTAATAAGACCAATCTTCCAATGATCTTGCCAAGGTGCTCCTTAGTGCACAGTAGAAATGAGGACGACATTTGATTGTCGCCAGGCTGAGAAAGCTTTTGCAACATAAGGCTACAGATGATTTACGCCGTTGTATAGCAACGTTCGGGTTTGGTCAAGGTGGAATATTCCGCTCTAACTTAATTAGTTTATGTTGAATGCTACTGATGTTGAAAGGCTATGTGACATTCATGTAGTCAGATCAGATGGTCGGTCATTTTTATTTACCGATACTATCAAGATGGTTCATAAGCTTAGGGGTGATGAACCACAGAAGGCTACGGCTTATTCAAGATGAGGTATATTCCCTTGAGGTATAATACCACACATGAATAATGAGTCTCTCGGCTAAAAATTTGAGCTGTTCCATCCTCGAAGGATCCGTTGGACTGAACAATGTGCATGTCCCCCCTACAGGTGTCAGGCGCGATCATGATAGTAGTTAATCAATGACCTTCAATTATTCCGACCAGGCCCAATATCAGATCTGTGTTTAATATATCCAGCAAAACCCATACAATACATGCTAGAGTTGAACATTTTGAGACACACATCCGCCCTATCATCCAGCACGGGAGCATAACATACGGCAACATGAGAAAGGGCGATAGAATTGCTCTGGAACACGTGAAGTCTTGCACTAATCATCAGATTGATAAACTCTGCCATGAATTATCGATAGATTGCAACCAACTTCAACTCGAACCACTTCGGAAGCGATGATTGAAGCATAACTTGTTGCCGCTTTACAAGGTGCTACAAAGGCACATGGCACACTTCGAGAGCTTTGCTACCAAAGGCTAGAACCTGCATGCACTCCAATTATTTCCTGGTCAGATATAGATATGTGTGCGATAAACTGCTAATCACACTCAGGTAACGCGACAATACGGCAACACATGGTAACAATCTCTTGTGTTACCTTGACCTGAACACATAATGGCCCAAAAACATCTAAACGCCCAAACCTTGGCTTTCTTGTCAACCATGCACATGCACATGCTATTACACGACTGCCGTGCATTTGGTATTGCACGTAAACATTTCGCCTATATGAGAACATGGTGACATGTTAACGTATTGATCTGTCCAGCTACAGATAATTACTCCGATCATGAGACACCTCGTATTAATAATAATAATAATATTCTTAGTATTATTATTAATTCTATTATTATTGTGGATGCAAACCGAAAATGACGACAGATCAGTATACTGACCAAATAATTAGTGTAAGTTTGAATACAACTTTTGGCGGGGCAATTTGGGAATCGATAAGCTGTCTATTTCCCACCGGGATTGCTTTACCAAAGGAAACCTTTTTTGTATCCATGGTTCGGATGCGCTAAAACGGTAATCCAAAGTTCCGAGTTTCTGCTCCTTTCCCTATCCTACGTACCTTCCTCAGCCAAAGAGATTTCCGGTCAACGCACCTGCTCCCGGTCACCAGCCATGACCCTGTGTATATCGTGCACACTCCACAATCGTGCTAAGCAAAGCTTTGGGAATCTATCCACAGGTTAGAGACTTAACACCAGATAAACAAGCGACCACAAAGGCCGTTTAGATGGCATAATGGGTGGCGTACCCGTTTGGTACCCAGTGCTTCGCTCGCAGCTTTGCCCAGAGGATTAAACTTCGGTTCGGCATGAGTAAAAGACCTCAGCAGTACACCGGTACACAGTACCGACGTGTACCGGTGCCGCTCAACCACCATCAGTCGCATGCCCGCTAAGAATACTGCGAGGGCCGCCCGTTCTCTACGCAGGCTGAAACCCGCGCCATCGGATTACAAGGCAGGCATATGATCTTCAAGGTTACGGGCCGGCCAGAGAGCACTGTTTTGACAGTTGTGAGATTAGGCTGTGTAGGAAATCTTGGACTTGACCTACCAGGGGAGTAAGCAGCTTTAGAACGAGCACTATAGTGCGGTCGGAACCCAGACGTGTTCTCCATATCGGCTGACAATCTTACGTTTAAGTGGACACCGGTTGACCGGATGTGTAAACATGAGACGGAAATATGCGCTGGTTGTGTTTCGGTTCTGGTGAAGAAGCTAACAATCATTATCACTTCGTTAAACGGCAATCCGAAAATGCTATTTGGACTAAGCGAAGCTGTTCACTTAAACCTTCGCGTCAGCATCAACGATCGCAAACTCCGTATCCCAAGCCATTTGGGATTGGTCTAAGGACTGATCGACTGACTTCATTTTGGACTGCCTGTGACCATCGATATCAGGGACCGTCTGGTACGACAATACAACGGTAATGCGTCTGCAAACTCTGCTTTTCAGCTAACAGTGCTTCACTGTCAATTTAGCACATGTGCCATCTCGCAAGAATCCACCTGAGTACCTTCTTTTCTAACCCTTCGCTGAAAGTAAATCTAGGAACGTGCATGCCCCTAACTTACGCTACATTTGCTCATTGCAGCTTTAATAGTTACACTACTGTCTTGTACGATAATACGAAGTCATAGTATATCAATTTCGGTGAGTGCATAGTGATAACCAGTTTTTAGCTGCTCACGTAGTTAAATCCGATACTAAAGGGGGGCAAATATCTCAAAAACTGCTTGTGGATTGGCCAGATTAATGTGAAAAAGCATGTGGCACTTTTGTGATATATCTTCAACACTTTACCAGTTACATTACAATTGGCTGAGTGTCACAACACCTAAGATGAAAAATAGATTAAAGGTGAAAATCTGTTAGGGTACAAGAGTCTCACAGCAACTGCGCCATCGCGTACTATCCTTGGCCATATCCTCCAGCGTTTTGGACCAAATGTGCTCGGGGCCCTTTGGCCTCCAACCCGGGAGTCGGGAACGCCCAACAACAGCCAGCTTCAACGTTTGCGCCTTAATGAATTGCGTCCAAGTTTTACATCAACCTGCTTATCGTCGCTTTCACCCCTCGCTTGTGTTAACAAATAGGGCTCCTCATGGTAGCCAGTGGGTAGGCATGCGGAGCATATGCCAAGGCCAGCGAAGCTTCCGCAGTGAATTGGTGCTATCAATCGATCGGCGGAGTTCGTTAGATCTAAAGACTCGTCGACGGACTTCCTCATTAGTGATGTGACGTTGCCATCGAACACCAGCAATACTTCGCAAGCAGCGGTAATCGAAGACAGATAGCTGCTGAACATCGCTTTTGTGAACGGGCCAAGTCTAACGCTTATACATCCGAATCGCTCGTACCGTAGCATAGTAGACTCGTCATTTGAACGTAAGGCTGAGATCAAGACGAACGCACAGGTGACGAAGGTTCGGGAAAGCGACTCTAGCATGGAGACACGCAGTAAGATCTCCTGTCAAACTGCCAATACTAAGACAACGCCCAAGGTAAATGAATTTGTCGACCCCTTCCAGCGAGTGCCCCGAAAGCGCGAGTGAAGGACGTGCTTTTGGCTAGTCCTGTAACAGGAGCTTACATTTGGAAGGGGCAAAAATCAAGCAAAATTGGGAGGCGGACAACTCCAGTCTAAGCGGCAAATGCTGAGCGGCTTGGAAGGACTCGCAAATCACAGCGATGTCATCGGCGTACTCTAATTCCCAAAGGCGATAATCAGGGAACAGTTTAACATCGCAGAACTCAGAGTTATCCATGCAGTATCCAGGATCTCGTCCATGGCGAAGTTGAACAATACAGGAGAGGCTGGGCAACGCTGTCTAACACGGTTACTGATACCGAAAGGGGGCGAGATGTCTCCATATACTCGAATGCGGCACGAAGTTTGATGGCAAATGGCACGGAGAACGATGATATACTTCTCAACTACTCCCCTCTTCCGTAAGCAGTCCTAAAGTGCTACTCTGTCAACAGAGTCAAACGCGGCTCGAATGTCCAAGAATATGACCATGGTTGGTTGACTGAACGTATGGCGATGTTCAAGTATCTGGCGGATCGTAAAGATGTGATGGACGCAACTGCGACCCGGGCGAAATCCAGGTTGTTGTTCACGCAGGTGCTGTTCCCGTGCGCAACTGAGCCTCCGTAAGAGTAGGACTGCGGGCAGTTTGGATGCGACATACATGAGACTGATACCACGATGGTTGGAGCAAATAGTCCGGTCTCCTTTTTTGAACAGGTACGACATCCGCTAAATTCTAGTCCGATGGGATCGTTACGGTAGTCCAAAGCTAACGGAAGAATATCAGTTCACGAGTGAGAGCCAGATCCCCATGTTTGAAGATGGCAGGAGGAATTTCATCTGTGCCCTTATGTGAGCTGATACGTAGACAATGTTCAAGTGCGCGTCACCCTTAAGCCATGTGACGGTGAACTGAGTCACACAGCGGACAGCAAGCGCGCGTCAAACCCAGGTCACGTGACGACGGTGTGAATTAAAAAAAGCTGCGGGACACTATTGATTAATTAATTCAAGAAAGGATGGTCTTAACCTGGAGGAATGCTCAGAGTAATTCAGAAACGTGTTAGCCACAAACGTTGAACAAGATCATTTCTCCTTTCCTCTTATGCGGTCACATTTAGCCATACTAATTCCCCTAATACTGCATCCCATTACGGCTGCAAGGTCTACTCAAGCACCAAAATCGAAAACTTCGGAACGCGGAATATAGGGATGCTAAGTTTTGTAAGGCTCTAATTGCTACCGTCACTGTGTGAGACAAACTTTCCATGAATGGCAAAATTTTCCGAATGCTCAGTTAAATCAGTGCATAACCAGTGCATACCCTTTTTTGCCTCAGCATTTGTGACATAAGACGGACAGCAGATCGGATATTGGTGTGTTTGGATACTTTGCTTTACTGCGATGATCTCGACTTAATCAAAAGAATGGTATCATATGCATGAACACTGAAGAATAAACTCACCTGAGGGATCGGTGTCAATGTAACCATAGTCATCCAAGTCCGTAGAATCCTTTGCATCGCCTGAGTTATTTGGTTGAGAAGTTGCAGAAGGCTGACTAGTGCCGAAACGTTTAACTCCTAGTCGCCCTCGGCCAATGACCAGGTTTGATAGGGCGCTTGTAACAGCGGGAGTGGCGGATCTGTCCCCCAGCGGATGTTTCCTGGTTGGGATGAGCTCTTTTTTGAAAGTGCAAGCAACCGTTTTGTAACCGGAAGTTGGGACGTGGGCGGTCGATGTATCGGAGTCAGGATTTGATACACCCCGCGCCGCTGCTTGGGACATTGCGAGAAGACTCTCTGACCTACAATCCTGGTTGCTTACAGATGTTGCTGTGTAAGCTTGCTGCGGTTGCCTAGAGGCCGACACATCTCCTGTTTCAGCCAGCTGGATAAGTTTTACTGGTGCGTTGGTGATGCTGGTGGTCGCAGGAGGATAGTTGCTGGGGACGGATGAAGACTCTAACTCGCCATCGGATGGAGTGAAGCTTTCCTTTAGATCCTGGCCACGACTCCTCGGAAGCGACTGAGAACTTTCGAATGGAGTGTAAAGTGGCAGAGGACTACTCAGTAACACTGCAGGTAAAAAAACGTGAAAAAAGATGAGAAGCTTTTGAAAACTGCGAGACTGTAAAATAGTTAAGCACAGTCAAAGAAGAATGGAAGTTGCCAGAGTAAGGGATGGTAGTAGTAACGAAAAACTTGGTCTCGGATTTGTCTGGTATGACAGTTAGTGTGGAACACCTACCTGGAGGGGGTTATCAAGTCTGATACCCAAATCCGAATTAAATTAACAAGGCACCTAACAAAACGTTACAACCACACAAACCAAAATTCATCTGAGTGATCATGTTTTGTTCAATATCAGTCGTTAGCACTATCAGAGAGTTGCAGGAGCCCACATTACTCGTACGCCAGACCGATAAGAATGGAGCTTGTTTTAACTCAGCTAGCTTGCCCAACAACTTCCCCGTAATGCCAACTGGGTGGCTTGGGTTTATGCCGTTGCACCGAATGGTTTGGCGACAATGCTGCTAGGATGTGGTGGTTTTCGCCCGGCATCCCTTCTCTCTATAAAATGCTGCAGATTCATGTTTAACTTCCCTGTGATGTGGCCTGTGACTCGCAACTAAATAAAGTCACTGACTCTTGTTTATCCGAATACTCCTATTCACTCAACGGACGTCAGTTATCTATATTTGTGACAAATTTAACGTTTAACGATATTCGTGCACGCTTTACCGTGATTATGCATATGCAGACGTGCCTTGCATTCTCAAGGATGAACTAGCTATGTAGTGAGTTAGAGCGGAAATTTGTACATAATCAGTTTGACTGCACCTGTCACTTAACGTGATTAGTGAAACTTTTAAAAAGAAAACGCGAAATTAGCATTCGTTACAGATCTACTGCTAACTAGCACTAGACCAAGATGACCGCGATCCCGCAATTACCTGAAGCACGACCAGGTGATGTCGCAGAAATGGTGGCCGAACGTATGAGGCTGTGCTGACTTCCAGTCGAAGCGGATTCTTCGCTTGCGACGGACGACGTAGTAGAATGCTGTGACGAATGAGTGCGAAAGGAGGCCAGATGTGGCACTACCAGCTTTCTCTCTTCGTCCTTGTGTGCACGTATTGACAGTCGTGGTGAGGTTTGTTTTCCAGTCTCTCCGCTGCTCCGACGAGACTCGCCTTCGGCCACATCGAAGCTACTTTCTGCAGTCAGGAGGACACATATCGGGTCGTACAGTTCCGGTGGGCCAAATATGTCGGTCGCACTATCAATGAGTAGCTCAACTATTCGTGCTTGACCTTTGTTATCCATCAAATCCATCATATTGGCCACTTGGAACCTATGTGATTAGACAACGTTGTGCTGTGAGATTAGTAGTGCATACTGGAGTATAAAAGTGTGTGCGGCCGAGCTACGTGACTGTTTTAGGAATACGGAGTGAATACCATATGATTTTAAACATGGAATGGGGTTTATGCGAACCTGTTGATACCAGGGCCTAACACCGTGCGATTTGCAGAGTAGCAGACAATGAACAATGAATTTATATCGGTTGAAAAGCGATACCTTACATGTCCCGTTAGGTGGTTTTGCAGGGTTAGCGAAAAGCAAAAAAGCAGTGGGTTAATTACATTCAAAAGAGGGACTTATCGTTGGTTGCGCTGTAATCCTCCGATCCGTGTAGTTTCACAGCACAAATATGTAACAGCAAATAAATCCAAAGCATATTTCAGGAGTGGGATAGAGATGTAGTACTAGGTAACAAAGTGTAGGTGAGTAAGCGAGTCATCTAACGTCATTTAAATATGTATAGTGATGATGCAGAAGTGACCGATTTTGGAAGGGCATCCCACGGGTGACACACACGGAGGGAGAAGAAATTCCTGTGGCAATCCAGGCGGCTGTACTGTTATCAGTTTTAGTGAGTGACCTCTCAACTTGACAGTACTGCTGGGTTGCAGTAAAGAGCATCGCATATGATATGGATCGTGCAGAAGTAAGCACACCATAATCAAGTCACCACGTAAGCGACGGTAACGTTCGCTGAATACCCCAATCTTTCCAGCCTCTGCTTATACGGAAGATGGTGCATTCCAATGACATACTTTGATGCTCGACCTTGGGGCTGCTCCAATGCACTAAGGTCGTGCTTTAGCCATGGGTGCCAGGCTTGAACTGCATATTCGACATGAGGCCGAACATACCCACCAAGCCTCCGCCGGAAAATAGAGCGATCTATTTGTCTGAACACCCGTCGTAACAGGCCCACATGTTGGTTACCAGCTTTGGAAGCTTCCGCGGATTGCCTGGAACAATCCAGATCATCCTGACTCAATACGCTCAAATCAGTTTCGGTGGCAGCTCACTGCAACACATGCTTTCCGAGCCTGTAACAGTGGTTACTCTGGTGTCGTATGGAGAGCACCTTGCATTTACTCACATTGAATTGCAGTGAATTTTGGTTGGACCACTGATGTACCGGGTCTAGATCAATCTGAAGCGACGTCTGGTCAGTATGCCCCTGAAGCTTGCGCCAAATCTTGACGTCATCGGCAAACAGCAGGAAATTTGATGTAGTTGCCTGTGTAAGGTTATTGAGAAATAACAAAAACAATTGGGGACCTAGCACCGAGTCCTGAGGCACATCATATTCAACTTGTATGGGGTCAGCGAAGGAGATCTGCACTCGGACAAACAATTGCCACAGAAGGAGATGGTTGGCGATCCAGCGCAGAAGACGGTCACTGATCCCGTAACGCTGTACGTTAGAAACGAATGCTTCCGAGAAAGCCAGGTAGACTACATCAAGTTCCTCTCCAGCGTCAGCTGACTAAGCGCAGCTACTCCGTGTTAGTGACAAATTCCTTGTGCGCCATCGATTTCGACAAAAGCAGTGCACCTCAGAAACACTAATGTTAGAGTTTTCCAAATAGCCCACCAGCACATCGGCTACGATAGATTCCATCACCATGAATAGTATAGGGAGAAGAGAAACTGGTAGTTTGTAGCCTCGTTTCGGATGCCACCTTTGTGAATAGGTCATAATAATCCAAGCTTCCACGGTTAGAGGATGCGCGGCATGTTTGAAAAGATAAATCCGCATATTAGACGAGATAATGGTTTGAAAAGGCGACCACATTTATTAGACGACACCCTACGATGCAGCGCTGCTAGATCACGATTTCCATGTGTTAGCCTCTACAGTGATTGGTTATCATGAACCACTGTCTGCCGGGTGACTCATGTGTGAAGCCAAATACGTATAACCAAGCGGACTATGAGTGTGGCGGTGCGTACTCCTCATCGCCTTTTCCTTTCTCGTGTCATGTTCTTAATTGATCGATAATCGCAGCAACGGGAGCATGCGACAAATGCACCAAAAGCGGCCCACTTCAAGGTTATAAATATTCCCACTGTGAAGTTACAAGCTGGTGTAAGTAACCTTAAACTATCGACAGTCTCTCATCAGGTTTGTAAAATCATGCGTGGAAACAACTGTTCGGTACGTAATGGAGGAAAGTACACTGCGTTTTGTTCACAACGACCGCTGATAAGCACTGTACGTTAAGTCACATTTATACCGCGTGCGTAGGACATAGGACACAACCAGCTTGGATCAAGACAGTTCTAAAGTGTGAGTGAATCTTTCCCGTCAAATGGATTCCAGCCGTTCCCGTTAGCTTTGCATGACTGGCGGATTCTATACCATTCTACTGACAACTTCACGCATTGTGCTGATAAGTTATCTAGATAAAAGAAAGCAAAACAACTTATCGTTCACTCATGTTCACGTGCGCATCAATTCATTCTCTTCCTGAGGGATTACATCCATGCACTATCAGTGACACTCGCATTGGTCATTGGACATTTGCCAATGGGACCCCTGGATGTAAGCACAGGGCTAGATGTATGCTCCCGAGCAAGTTGACACACTGGTGTTAACGGAACGCAGACAGGGATGAGAGTGTCAGTGCCAGAGGTCACCAACAGTACGCCTGAGTGTAGCTGATGAACCTAGGATGAGGTGTTTGAACGTTCTCCCTCAGCAGCCCTTTAACAGAGCTTTTGTCGGAAAGAGTTACCATTGGTTCGTATTCTGACTCGGCCGGTAGCCAGTGTTCCTGCGCCAAATTTTCAGCGTTAGTTCGAGCAGCCCGTAAAGTATCGAGCGCACAGTATATGATCGGTCCAAGGTGCACAGTACCAGTGGAACATTTCGGCTCTAGGTCAGTATTGCCTCCGGCCGTAACAATATACCGCATGAAGAAAATAATAATAATAATAGTAAAAATATTAATAATAATGACAGTGAGCATACTTCTCATCAAGGGAAAAGCTGTGACAATATTGGACACAGAACATACACGCACAGGTGATGTCATGCTATTGCAAGGGCGATATCAAGTTATCTTCTTATATTTGTCTGCATACCTGGCAAGCTAATTGCCCCACATATGTTTATCTTATGTGATAGCAGGAGGCAAATTTGCAGTTTGAGTATGTTGTAGATACTGAGGATTAATTACATTGCTTGAAGTAGTGGTAGTACATCAATTACACGCTAGCTGGGCTTACAGTGAATGGATGTTCAGATGATCTTCCCCACAAAAACAACGACATAATGATGTCCAGATAGAGATAGCTTCCCAAATTACTGCGAAAGGACTACAAAGTCTCACAAGACCTGATGGTGAATGGCAGCGGATTCCACAGAGAAGAATACATGGTGAGACGAAAGTTAAGCCGCAAATTTGTCCTGCATCGTGATATAATCAAGCTAAGGTGTTTGTTACTTAGGTTTCGCGTGTAACTGTGCTTCAAAGTTAACGTGAATCGATTGCAATGGGTATTGTCATAAATCAAATTGTGCAGCAGTCTCCAGTTATGTTTTAGTCTTCGCAGCCAAAGCGGATGGGGGTGAAGTTGCTGGCCATCGCTCCAGAGAGATGATGATAGAATTTTGTCCCAATATTTGCTTAGTAAACGACCGTTGAAGGCTTTCTATCGATGTGCTGTCTGACTTCCACATATTGCCTCAGATTATGCTGCGATACTCCAGGATGCGACGATTAAGGATTTTAAATAGTTCAACTGTAGCTACGAATGTATGCATGTTGTGAGAGATGTTGGCGAAGGATGGTTTTGTTCGTGCTATCTGGTACTCAAACTGTTCTGAGAATATGAAGGTACAAGTATATCTGTTTCCAAGGTCACAGGTAGACCGTTGTACACAGATGCGCTCGCTGTTAAGTGCAATAGATACTTTGAGTGTCAAGCGTGATATATGATACCTGACTATTGTGCTTAAAACGTCATAATCCACTTGTCGCACCAAGTCTCGAGCGAATGAATGTATTCTTGGATGCGTGGTAGTACATTCGGAAGCTCAACTCGTTGGTACTTGGGGACAAATTTAAATCAACAATAAGTCAAAACGGCACGACATAAATGTTGGCCAAATCTCTATCATTGACACAAAAAAGGGAAATTAACGTACCGAGCGCAAATTCTTGGTTGGCCCCGCTGTTAATTGGACGCGGAAAAGGGCAATAATCACCTAAAGTGACTATTTTAGCAGGACCGTCCATGTATGAACATAGCCAACCTATTGATGTGTTCCAGACTTCGAGTAAATCTATCAGAATCAGTAACCGTTTGTGAGGCACCCGATCAAATATTTTCTGCATATACAAGCATAGAATTAATATGACATATTTTGAGTTAATGGAGTCTGGTATGTAGTTGAGATAATGCAGCTACCAGTATGTGTACGATTGTTAGTTAAGGAAACCATTTCAAGACCTGTCTATCGGCTCCAGTGACTTGATGAACTTCCTCACACTTTTTTTTACCAAGTTCACGAATAATGCGGCTATTATATGAGTGTTTTCGCCTGTCCTGTTATTGTCAACTTCCTATTTTGCGCAGCCCTTGTGGTGAGGGTTAATTAGTGCAGTTTTTGATTGATTTGCAAAGTATTTAGACCCCAGTGAAAGGGCAAACAAATACAAAAGGATCAAGGTGCTTACATCCAGGCAGTCCCATTGGCAAATGTCCAATGACCAATGCGAGTGTCACTGATCGTGCGTGCATGTAATCCCTCAGGGAGAGAATGAATTGATGTGCACATGAACATGAATGAACAACAAGTTATTTTGATTTTTTTCTCGAGCTGACATATTAGCACAATGTGTGCAGTTGCCTGTGAAAATGTATAGTAAGGACGCGTTTTGTTAACTTGTCAGGAAGTTGGCGGATGAACTTGTTTGACAGTTAACTTCAGGATTTGACCGGCGTCTGCGAGATTTATCACTAGGGAGCAGTTGTTTGCCTTTCGACACCAACTCATGGTCAAACCAGGTGGTGTCCCATCCCCATGTTAGATGGCTGCCATGTTACACAACCAATGTAAACGGTCCAAAAAAACCGAGAACAAATAAACGCATAACGAGTTGGCGCTGTGTTAGGTTCTGTTGTTGACTGTCGTGAAAGTGCCTGAGTGCATGACAAAGAGGATGATTTGACATTTCCGCTCCAGGTTTAGAAATATCGTTTCCCTTTAGCGGAGGTCTTTTGGTGTCACTCGCTCACAACGCTGCGTCCTGGGACCACTTTCGTCCCTCTCCAGACTTGAGATAGCCACGGCTGGTAATGGAACCCGTGAAGTAAGGGTCAACGGATGAAATCTTAATCACTCGGCTGCTCCGTTTTGATCTCTCTGTAACTATCCAGACAGTCAGTGCTGTCGTACTCGAGAGTATGCTATGCAATCCTTCAAAAATCAGGCCATTCGAGCATAGCTCTTCATTTCTAAGCTTATTGGAAAGAGAACCGTGTTTCGCATTGAATTAAGTGGAGCTAAGTAGTAGAAATTCGCAGGTTCCTCGTCCCAAACGTGTTTCCTTTGAACACCACATGTAGCGCTGCGCCATCGGGTCACTTCAGCGCTACGTCGAGAAAGTAGACAGCATCGTTTGTCTCCAGTTCGAAACTGTGAGAGTTTAAGCTGACGGTTACCTGCTACGGCCAAGTGCTCAAGGTGGTGTCGGAGCCCCGTGAACGCTTCCACCCACTGACGGTAGTGAGCACAGGAATGACCAGGGACAGGGATTCGAGGGTACTTTTGCGTAGGGAAGCCAGTTGATTATATAGTATAACGCACAAACATGAAAACCAACCAGTGTACGGAAAGCATATGGACAGGTAAAGCCAATAAAAGCCTGGACAACTAAGGAAAAATCAAGTGCACGCAACACACGTAAATTGTGAGTGATAGCGTCAGAGTACGGCTACGATCTGAAGGCAAAACAACCACTCCAAATAGCTAATAGGGGTATCGAAATGATGCGTTAAAACAACCTCAGTGAACCACCAGAGCAAAACGAGTTTGCAGTCATGAACGGCTACATAAGCAAACATGTATTGTTCTTGGTCCTCTAACATTCTACTGTGGGGGTGGCGGCAACTTCATGTCATCAATGTGACATTTGCTACGGTATGATTACCGAACATTCCACCTCATCTTGGACTTACTTTGGTTTTTGCCGTAACACGGTCGGCGCGAACATCGTTCCCAAGTTGGCCGAACTCATTAGATTCTCCGACTGACAAGCGGACACTCTAAAACAGAAGTGGGAATCGGTTGCGTGCAGCGTATTTGAAAGAGTTGAGAATGCCTGATATGTGTACTTCTAGACAATTGAGGCAGGTTTCCAATTAGTGGGTAATCAATCACATTCGTGGAAACCACTGGACTCGTTACATAATCCAATTGTGTGATGGATCCAAGCGGATGACCATTTGCCAAGATTTACACGCCTCTGGTTCATATGTATACTTATACGGCTACCGGATAATAAAAGCTTGTGCACCATTGGTAGGTTGTTGTTGGACGGTAAGTTTATTATGTAGCCCAATTTGACAGAATTTAATGTTAACTGAACGTTGAACTTTGGATACTACTGCAGTTTGTGCTTAGTTGATAGCAATATATTCAAAACTTTGTGTTTCGAAACTGGCCTTCAATAGTACTTGTGTGTTGAAATTTTACTTTTATTTGTAATGCCAACACTGCCACTGCAGAAGCGCGCTAACTTAGGGGTGAAGAAGAGTGTGAAAAAATCACGAAAACTACTTTCACCACTATCCGAGGAATCTCTTCAATCTATTCCACCGTTGTGCATCACTCTACTGCGAAACTCCCTGCTTTGATATGCTGATGCAACCTCCCTAGGGTGCGATTGGTGACAAACCTTCTGGTCAAACTAATGCGAATGATTTAGGGGGAAAAGATCGTCAATTTCCCATCCCTTTAGCATACATTTCTGTTTCGTGACCAAACGGACACACAGCATAGGTTTTGTGACGCTGATAGCAGTAATGTGCACCTAACCACATTGAATGTTTCTTTACCATACTGGTTCCGCGATTTAGGATCGTTTTTGACTAACCTCATAAATCCCTCATGTTTTTGGCATGAATCAGGGGCTCTTATTCTGCTTCCCATTATATGCACTTTCTTGGTTGGTTGCAACCAATCACAACCAGGATTAAAATATCAAGTCGGCGTTTGCTACTATCCTGTACGAGATGAATGCAGTAAAACCAGTTGCGTTACTCTGCCGGTTATTACTTGGAGTAAATATGACACCAATGTGTGGGTTCGGTTACTAAGATCTTCATCTAATTGTGCGAAATATGCCAGCATTTCTTCCATATGCTTGTTTGGATCACAGATTTTTGTGCTGTGCAACAAATTAATGAGCGTGCAGGGGAGTAGATAGCTTTCGATATCATCTTCACCGGCATTTCATCGTAGTTAACTCCTTTTCTAATGGTTTTCCACACATCTGGACAAGCGTCAGACGGCTGTGTCTTCTTAACGGGACAGGTCAGTGGTGCGCATCGCGTAAAATCAGCCCAGATCTCCGTATTTCTGCAACGGAACACGGTACAATTTCCCTACCGTTCGTCGAAGAAAGAGGCAACCCGCCACAAGCCGCTTCTAAAGGAGTAGGTATCAGGTGCTCTGTGTAATAGCCCAAAACGGCTCCAGACGGTAGGCCGGAAATTCACCTAAAGAACAAATGTCGGCCTACCCCACATGGGATTCGCAGGAGTCGTTTGTGCATTCAGATATGATTCCGACATACGTAGATCTCAAATATATGTATACAAACGCATTCAACAAATTGGCCGAGCCGCAATGTATTAGGACCTAATGGTGGTAATCGAGATATGGCTGAAGTACCTGCTTACAACTAAGATGCATTTACTGACACGATTATACACCCACATACTCCCGGTAGCAAAATAAATGTTACACACCCTAGAAATCCGGCCACACTCGGTAAACAATTCAAGCCGGGACTGTAAGTGTGAATCGCTGGTTCACCGCTGTGCAACCATGTCAATTGTCCAACTAGTTTGCGGACAGGGAGTAAATCGACCATCTTGAACGTCGTGATCCGCAACGAGTAACTTGGGGTAGACGTAGTGACGCCGGGAACCCCTTCGGCCGCACTGACTATGCGACACAAGTGTTTTGGCACCTGTGCAAACTCAGAATAACTGAAGGAATCCCGCGTCAGGGCCAATCATGACAATCTGTCTGACGTTCTTGTTGCAACAGGATGGTCTTTCTTAGTCGAATAATCCCCTGAGGGTGCATGTGGGGAATTCATCAGCAGCTACAACAGGCCAGTGGTAAGCACATAAGAAACCAAAGTCCACCGTTCGAAAAGGATGAAGCCATTCCTAAGACGCAGGGATCATATATACTTGGCCTAGAGGGACTACACTTTGTGCGCCCACAAATCCTCTACAAGCGAGGGCACCTGGAATATCTTTATAATGCAAAGGAATCACTGCCTCAAACTTTCCCGGGAGGATAAAGTACCAACAAGACTTTGTGATAAGATTTCGCTTTAATCAGACGGTACCTTACGGACACGTAAACAAACTAAATGGACTCTGGCACCGAGTTCTTGCTCTTCACACAGCATGCAAGCTAACGCAAACAACACAAGTAGCAGCCAACGGCCTTGGACGACAAGTTGGTCGTGAGTTCCAAACTATTCCTGCCAACGCAGCTCATGCCGCCATCAGAAATTAACAACATGTCCTTTACGACTACAGATGTTATGAAGATGCTGATGTCCTAGCATAAGTACAGCTCCCCTGGTGCAGACGTCATTCGCCGAAATACCTTGCAAGTTGCTGCCATGAGTTTGGAAGAACCGTTAACAATACTCTTACAGCGATATTTTAATGATATGCAGGTTCACACGATGTGAAAGCGCGGGATCAACACACTACTCTACAAATTATAGCCGCGTAGAACAAGCGAATTATAGTCCGATAACATTACTTCGGTGATCTCCAAGCTCACAGAGTCCCTTGTAGTTGAGGCGCTTATGGGTACCTGGAAAGTAGCAAAGTTCTCACTTTGCAGCAGCACGGATTTCGCCAAAGTAGGTTATATACCACTAACCTGCTGATAGCTTGTGCATGCTGGAAGGAATATGTGGATGCTGGTGCAAGTGTAGATGCTGCCAATCTGAATTTTTCAAAGGTATTCAACCGACTGGACCATCGCGTAATACTGCACAAGCTGCGGACTTATGGATTAGATCCGATTTTGGATTAAATAGATAACTTTCTCTTTCAAGGTTACCTGAATGTGAGGGTTCACAGCGCTGTATCCGAAACCGTCGAAGCCCAGTGGAACAACCACAATACTCTTTACTCGAACCACGCCTGTACTCGATCTTCAAAAATGAGCACACGTGGGTTCCATCCTCTACCATTCGTCAGTGATCTGAGGCTACGACGTGTTACCACAACAGTGGAGAGTCACACAGCTCTGAGCAGAGATCTGGTTAATATTGACACATTGTTCGCCGAGAATATGACCCAGTTTAAAGCGGTGAAACAGAAGGTCATAAATAAATAAATAACTTGTTTTTTCTCGGCTTTGTTTGACACTCAGCATACACCATCAGCTTATTACGACTACCTGCTAAGGCCAAAAATTCTACAGCGCGCTTTTCATGAGTGCAATCTCGGAGTGCTCATGCAGGAAGACCGTGATTGCTTGAAGCAGACCGAAAAGGCATCTAAGAAGGCAAATCAACACATCGGGCTCCTTGGTATGGATTTCGGAAAGTTCGACGTCTTAGTCATTCCGCAAATGGTAAGCGTGTACGTGAAGTCAGATGTGGAGCACTCTATCCAAGATTAGCAACATCGGCAGAAACCGCTCCTTACCGCAGTGGTTACTACACAACGCAGGGCTACGAAGAACTTCTAAGGTTTGTTCCACCTATCTCATAAACTCAGGCCTAGAACACTCAAAAGAATACAGGAGGCGTTGTAAGCGTTTGCGGGGGTTCTCACAATTGTGTATCAGAATTTAAAACAGCCCACCACACATGCCACTAGCATTCGAAACTCAGCCGTGATACATCTCTGAGGGGTAATCTGTTTAAGTTGGCAACGCGGTATAGCCGAATGGAAGGAAAACGAGTCGTTTTCTCCCCCGGGGGCTCATAGCTCTGGAAATCCCTCCCTGTGCATATAATTAATGCTCTCATCTTTGCCCTATCCAAAAATCGCTTTGACCATACTCCGACAAATTCACTCTACTTGACGCGGCCCATGATCATTATCATCATCATCATATGATGGCATCAGCTCTGAACAAATTGCGGACAGTGCTATAACCCTAAACGTAAACTCTAGGCAGGAACGCTCAGACATGTGATATTGCAAACCCCTTGGTGTGCCGTGCGTCTTTCGTGTTTTTAGCAACACTGTGATTTTCTTTTTAATGTTTCCCCAACTATCCCACTGAACTTGTCAAGTAATTGCGTTTGTATCCGTTATAAACCCTTACACCATTGCCCCATAGACGTCAACCCTGTCAGCTACAACTTTCGAAACTTGCATGGCTGTATAGGATGAGCCAACTTACATCCGAATCATGACGGTATGCCTTCGCGTCACCCATGATGGCCTAAACTGCTGAGGTCGAGACGTCTTGGGTTCGGTTCTTGGTGGAGTCGGAGAAGGCGCACTGCTGACGAGTTCTTTTAACAACAAACAGTCATCAGTTACTTCAGTGAATATTTGGAAATCTATCTTGATACAAGGTAGGTGCGATAAATCAGTTATGAAGACCTAATGAATACTGCTCGTTTAAAGTACTGCTTCTAAACACAGTTCATTGAAATGTCACTTGGATTTATTTGGGCGTAACTTCTTTGATCTATGCATTCTTTTTCTGTTCCAGCAGACATGTGACAGTGATTTGCTCACGTGTTCGCAACTTCGCAAGATTTAGAATAGAAAGCGAATTCATCTAGGCGTGCGTTTGGAAACGTTGCGCTCTTAACATAAACTCTCTTGCATCAAGATCGAAGTGTAACCACAACAGAAGTCTATATAGAATGAGTTTGATTCTGCAACTTGCGAAGTCATAAAATCCCAATTACTTCGAAACTTATTCCATGATAATGAACTGTTGGTTTTATTCAATTACTGAGGTGTACTTCAAAACAACAGCCATTCTAGTGCCTCTATTCGGTGTTCGGTACTTTGTTTAATGATGGTCATGTAAG